GGGGGGGGGGGGGAAGTGATCAAGTTGCATCATATACAGCAATGGAATCAGACTGTAAGAATGGGTTTGAGACCAAGCTGATCATCTCAGTCTTAGCTCATCCCAACACTAACGTAAAATGGTAACCACTGGAGCTACTTTGGGGGCCTAAGACAGCCTTCCAGCAGGAGAACCCAACCCTAATCTTTTCCCAAGAGAACTTAGCCCACAATGACCAATAGTGCCAGTCTCCAGAGACAATACCTGTAAAACTGGGGAACAGACCACAGAAGAGGCTTTGCAGAAGAGGGACGGCCACGCAGTGGGAAACCATTTTCTCCTTAAAGAGAGAAAAGGGACAGTCTAACAGGTCCCCAGGAGCACCCAGGTGGCTCAGTCAGTTAAGCATCAGACTTTGGTTCAGGTCATGATCTTGAAGTTCGTGGGCTCCAGTCCGGTGTCCCGCTCTGTGCTGACAGAGCAGAGCCTGGAGCCTGCTTCTGAGCCTGGAACCTGCCTCACGTTCTGTGTCTCCCTCTCTCTCTGCTCCTTCCCCGCACATTCCCATTCTCTCTCTCTCTCTCAAAAAGAAACATTAAAAAAATAAGAAAGAAAGAAAATAAATGTAACCAAATTTATTTTCTATCCTCCAGTATAAAGATTCATCACAGTTTACCATTATATTCCAAGAGATGCCAATCGAGCTAGAGGCATACATAGAAACTTCTAGATCTACAGGCCCTACCACATCCCAGCACCAAGCAGTCTTTTCCTCCTCAAGCTGACTTGGAATGCTCTGACGTGACAGGCTACAAAAGCCAGAGGGGATTCCAGCTCCTCACCAGGCCCAGGCTGCCTTGGGAGAGGCCCAGGCCAGTGTAGTCACTAAACCCCAGGGCCTCTTTCCCCCCTCAGATTTTATAAATGGAGACTTCATAGCCACAGAGCCATTATCTTAGAAATGGCAGATCCCGCAGGCCCCTTGGACAAGTTCTGGCCATGCCACTGGTCACTGTGAATAATTCCAAAAACCTGAAGCCACTCCTACTCTGAAGAAAACTTAATAGGATCTTACGCTAAAGAGGCAAAAACCTTGCTGTTAGTCTAAGAGTGGTGGTGGGTTTTCCGCCTCTAGCCAAGAACCAAAAGGACTACCAGGATCTGACTGACTGGAACGGGCCAGTGCCCTGGTTTCACTCACAGTCCTCAGGGGCAACTACTCTCCCAGTGCATTAGGTCCTAGAAACCAAATTATAGGCTGCCTCATAAATGGAGCTTGGCTATTTAATCAACTGCTTCTGAGCTGGCAAACAGTCCTGAGTCCTGCACACAAATGAGGAGTTTTTACATGCAATTACCCTGCCATTTTCCTCAGAGCTGGACTGTAATGGGAAACCTGGAACCCAGTGAAAATCTGGAAGCCAGAATGGATTTGTCTCCAGAGAAAGCCCTCATCTCCTTTTTTCAGTGGCTGTGAAATTTGGAAAGTGCCCAAATCCCTTTCCTACACGTGAGCACGCTGTTTTGAAAACAGCCACCATTTTTTTCTAGCAATAAGGTAAAGTGCACAAAAATCTATCCACCTGGACTGGAGCAGGTAATGTGGGATTTCTCCATTCCCACTTAAAAAAAAAATCTCAAATCCTACAGGGTCCTCTTCCACCTCTACCTTTAGAGCCCCACACCACTATCCCAGGGACGGACGAGTTGAAGGGAACTTTCTTAGAAACTGGCCCATCAGCTTTCCCTAGGGGCAATGGCAGCGGGAAAGGGGGGGGGGAGGGGAGGAGCTGGGCACGTGGCTGGCTGGAGCTCCAAGACCCAGGTTTGGGGCTGCGGGTTCTCTCCGTGGAGTTTTTTTTCCCCCACGGCCCCAGTGTTTTAACCCCACACCCAGGCAGCTCAGGAATCCCGGCGCAGATTGGAGAACTAGGACTAGGACAGCGCTACCCTCACGAAAGCGCCTCTGCCACCAACAGCCTGATGGCAAATATGGACTGAATCGTTGACATGGAAACCGGACTAAAGTCTTGCTCGCTCCCTCACAAGAGAGTTCTTATCACCATCCCCGACCGCAAAGCACTTGGCAAACGTGGACTGGATCTCCCGCCCAGAGGATCAGGCGGAGTTTCTGTGCGCTGCTTTAACTCCTGCGGCTGCGGCAGCCAAGGAGGGGGGCAGGGCTGCCAGGACAAACTGACTGAAAATGGCAGAGGATGTTCTCATTTTATCTGGCTTGTACAGTGTGCATGGATTGGGCCGAGAATAAGAGAACAACCTATTAAAATCCACGCAGTCAACTGCAAAATGTGGAACCGAGGCCTGGAGGGTTTGTTAAGAGAGAGAAACGTTTGCAGGGAGAGAAACAGCCCTTCCTTTCTCGAAATTTGCTTCCCTTAAGTGTGCGAAATACAAAACTCAACAAACAAACAAAAGATCAGTCTCGGCTCCTTCCCTTCCTCACTCCTTTTGGGGGAAGGCGTTTTAAGCCTTAGGACCCTAGTGGAGGAATTGCCTCTGTTCTGAATAAGGCGCTGGGAATCGGGGGAGCGCGGGGTTGTGGCCCTCACACGCGTCCCCGCCGCGGCAAAGCATCAGACACCCAGCGGAGCTCTCCCGAGTGCGAACTGGAGCTGCGAGTTTGAGCAAAAGGGCAACTATGTCAGTTGACGGAAGCCAGAAGCAGAGTTCAAATCCTGGCGTGGATTTCCGTCTGGAGCTGTCTGCTTCTTAAAGTTTGTAACTCGGTGTTCAGAAACAGCCCCAGCGGAGGCTTTGGGAGCAGTGTGAAAGTCTAGCACTACCATCTGACAGCGAGCAGCAAAACTTTGGGCTGCATATTAAGCGAGGAAAGTGGATTGAAGCAAGAGTCAAGGCAATTCATTATATTATCGGCTCCCAGACGGGAGCTGTAAGTTACGAACTGGATCGCCACGGAGAAAAATGGAATGGAGTCTAAATGGCGCTCAACAGCTCTTAGAGGTAAAATTGTGGCTGCCCAGCACCTAGGATCCTAAAGCAGCAGCAGCAGCAGCAGCAACCGTAGAGGCATCGAGCCTGGCGGGCGCTCAACGACTGCTTGGGTAGATGCTTTCTTCCACTCAAGATTTTAAAATAAAATCTCAAGATTTTAAAATAATTTGGAGGAATTTACATTTAGAATAATAAGGGACACATTTTGAGAAATGTTCATTTCTGCATGAGGCTTTCTTATTTTTTTCCCCCACGAGAAGAGTAGCTCTGTAAAAATACCTCTAGGCATAAGTCAACTTGCTTTTTTTTTTTTTTTCTTTTTGTATCAGTGTAGAATGAGAATGCTTCTCACCATCACCTCACCAAAAACTAAAACCAGAAATAAAATAAAGATCCACGTTGGTCTGGTTTGTGGCAGATTGCAAACAAAATGTAACACCCAGGTTCAATCTAACATGAGGAAATAGGTACCAACGCGTACACTCTAATATTTTAGAGTGCACATTTTACTTATCCACAAATTTCATTGATGAGTTTGCTGACTATTCCTTTGGAGACGATAGAGTAAAACTACTAACAATATTTTAAAGGCAAACAAACATACCTGAACTGGAGTTCTATAAAACCACTGGCAGATCAGGAATTTGGACATTTCTGCTGAGCCTCACTGAAGGTCTGTATTCCCCAAATGATACAAAAATAGTAGATGAAAAGCCTACTTGCAAAGAAGCTTGAAAGCCACTTTATAGTCCATCAGAAGAGAAACTTCAAGATGCTGTATTTGGTACTTACTACACCAAGTTGTTTTTAGATTTGGAAAGCTAAGTACCAACGATATTACCAAGGGAAGATCAGGTCAGCAATCTTAATATTGAAGCCTATTTCTCAGGAACAGGAAAAGTTTGTTATCTTTGACTTTCCATATGAAACCAATGTAGGCTGCTTTTGTTTTGCTTTACTTTAAAACCAATGGAGGAAAATTTCACACATGTAAAATGATTACAAGGGAAATTTTTGAAAGCTGAGGGTGGAGGAGAAAATCA